AAATAAATAAATAAATAAATAAATAAATAAATAAATAAATAAATAAATAAATAAATAAATAAATAAATAAATAAATATTATTACTTCTTGTTGTGATGAAGAAGGTAAATGAACTTGTTGTGCAAAATCCCAAGATAAATATAATTCAATATCTAAAGAATTAATTTTTCCTGGTCTAATTATAGTTTTTTTATCTAAATTTAAAATATTAATTTTTGCATTTTCTATACATTTTCTAAATTTATTTAATTTATATAAAATTAATAATAAATTTTAATAATATAATTTTTGATATAATATATATAAATATATAAATACTTACTTATAATATTCACGTTCATTATTTGCATCTTCAATATGCTTATTCCATTCTATTATTTTTTGTTCTTTTTCAATTATAGTCCATTTATCAATATTAAATCGCATAATTTTACAAAAATAGCATAAATCACTTCTTGGTGTTAAAAACTTAATTTCAGGTAAATAATTTTTAAAAATTGTTTTAAAAGAATTTAAACTAATATATAGATCTTTAATATCTTTATCTTGTTTAATAATATTTAAATATTGTCGATATAAAGATATATAATTTTCAATAGCTGGTAAAAAAGTAATTTCTATTTTTTCTTGTTTAAAATGTCGACCTTTATAAATAAATAAATATTAATAAATATATTAGTATTTATTAAAAATATTAAATTAATTAAATAAATAAAATAACAAAAATTTATAATGCAAATAGCAATTTTTTAAATAAAATACCTGGTGATGGAAGTCCCCATTTATTAGTATAACTTAAAATAAAACTAATTATTTTTATAATTGTAGAAAAAGGTATTGTAACATTACTTAATTTTTCAGCAGATTTATGAATTCTAGCTTTAATATCTTCTTGTGATAAATGAGTTCTAATATTTTCTATTCTTGTAGATCCAATTCCATAAATAAATTTAAAAGCTTGTAAACATATTTCTTCTGAATCAAAAGAATAATCATAATGTATTCTAATTCTTTTATTGCTCTTAGAATTTTTTTTTAAATTTGAAATACCAATAAAATAACCTATTAAAAAAGAATCTTGATTACTTTTAGATAATGATTGAAAATTAAAATTTCTTAAAAAAGCTTTTTTAGAATCAATTTTTTCTTTTAAACAATTATTTTGACAACAACTTGTTTTACTTATCTGTTCTATAAAAACTTCTTCATTATTATTATTAGTTATTTTTAACTTTTTAAATTCATTATTATTTAAATTATTCTCTTCCAAATTATTAATAATTTTAATTTTATTATAAATTTGGTGATATTTTTGTAATTGGTATTCAGAGATAAATAAAAACTCATCATTTTTATCATTTTCATCTTCTAAAATTTCATCATAATTTTCTAATTCAGAGTTCTCATGATCAATATTTACAAAATGTGTTTGAAGATTAAAGAAATCATTATGTAAGAATTGAAGTTCTTGGTGAGTTTCAGAAAAAATACTATTTAATAGTAGATGGGTAGAATTTTCCATTTTTAACTTAAAAAATATAAATTATCAAAAATATTAAAATTTAAAAATATTTGTATTGTAGTAAAATTTACTAAAAACTAGCAAGCTTTAGCAAATTTTAAGAAAATACAAGTGTCGAGTGGACTATCTTTTATTTAAAGAAAATTAAAAGTAGGATAAAGAATAAAAATAATTAAACAGGATTTAAATTCAATAGCCTCCTAGATACTATAAGGAGTTAGCAATAGGCAATTGTGTTTGGGGTCAAACCTATTGTCCAGTTTGTATAGGTCGGGTTTAGCAAAATGCTTGCTCTATACAAGGATTACTAGACTTAAAAACTTAGAAATATCCTAAGATATAACCAGAAGAAAGAAAGCACTAATAATCAGATCATCGACAGCTATATGTGACCTTTAAATCCTAATAATACAAAGCTAGTATTTGCCAAAATACTATTTAAGAAGACAGCTTTCACTTTATATTATTTACAAGAAAAGCACAAGATTTATTAAAAGAAAAGATAAAATAGGTAAAAAAGATAAATAAAGAATAGTTTTTATTGATAATGTCAAGAGAAGATAAATAAAATATAAGTTTATTAAAGAAATTTTTAGGTAGAGACAACTCTTGCTTTTTAGAAAAGCAAAAAGCTAACCTTTTTATAGCTTTTTAGACCAATATTTGATTGGTTTTAAGGCTACCATGTGTTGTAGAATATTTTTAGACACCCCAAAACGTTTGGAAGGCCTTGGCAATATAGAAAATCCAAGTAGAATCTCCTAAAACACCAATAAAACAGCACCGAGCCAATGCCAAGCCAAACCATATTCATTAATACTCGGCACTCTATTACTCAATAAATTACATATTAACTAAAATAAAACACATATCATTGTGTAGCCCTCATGTTGATCTACAAATCCTATTATGGTAGTTTAATGTTTAGAAGCCTTCTTAAACGTGTTGTCATATAGCTAACTAAAAATAACTATAATAAATATAAGAAAAATATAGAAAAAATATGCTAAAAATATAAT